ACCAGCACCGGGTGGGTGGCGGGGGGGGGGGGGGGGGGGGGGGGGGGGGGGCCCCGGGCCAGAGCCCCCAGCCAGCCTTTCACTAGGACTGGCGCTTTGACCACCAGGCCAGGCTGCCCTCCAGAGCGGCGTTTCCCCCGGGTGTGTGTGTGTGTGTGTGTGTGTGGGTGGAAAGTTTTCCTGCCCCAAAGGCGACTCTCCTTCCCTCAGCTTGAACCACCCGAACGTGGTGAAGGCCCAGGACCTGCCCGTAGACCTGGACTTCCTGGTGAACGACGTGCCCCTGCTGGCCATGGAGTATTGCTCCAGGGGGGACCTCCGGAAGGTAGGAGGGGCCGGGCCCTTGGGACCCTCGCCTGCCACTCCCGGGCTCCCTGGAGGAAGCCACAAAGTCTCCCCCTCTTTGTTGGCCCAGATCCGTTCTCCAGCACAGAGCTTGCTAGTAACTTGTGTTTTGTCCATTGAGACACACACACACACACACACACACACACACACTGGTTGTTAAATAGAAGAGTCTCGTTAATCTTCCTGTTATTGTGAACTGTTTTAGCTGCTGAACGCACCTGAGAATTGCTGCGGTCTTAAGGAAAGCCAGGTCCTTTCGGTGCTGAGTGACGTTGGTACGTCAGCTGTTCTTTGCCAGGATAAAGAGGTTGAAAAGTGCTTTGTTTCCAGCCTTCTCCTTGTGCCCCGAAGTCCATCCGAAAAGCCCGCCAGCCCTGGGGACCTATCAACAGCGGGTCTGCATTGACGGAGACCCCAGAAGGGCCTGGAGACAGAGGCCGGGGCATCTTCTGGATTTACTGCTGTTGTCGAAAGGAGGAAGGCCAAAGCAGAAAGAGGTTTTCTAAATGTGTGCCTTTCCCCCCCCCCCCCCCCGATTTCCATAGGGTCTGGCATCCAGTATTTACATGAAAACAGAATCATCCATAGAGACCTTAAACCAGAAAATATTGTCCTCCAGGATGAAGCCGGGAAGGTCAGTGAAACGCTCGGTGGCAACAATGATTTTCGAAGGCTGCGGTCGGTTTTTCCATCAACCCTTCCAAGAAATGGGCCCCAGAAGGGGGCTCCCTGCCCCCACCCCCCACCTGCCGGGCAGACCTTGCAAGGAGGAGGAGAGGGAGTTGTGCCATCATGACACTAGTCCTCTTGAGGAATCCCTCCCTCACCTTCCCCACCCGCCCTTTTGAAGCACAAGATGCCCTGGACTTTGGGCCAATCACCAGGAGGCCCTGAGTTCTAGTCCCGCCTCGGGCACAAAAGGGGGCTGGGGGACTTTGGGCAACCTCCGCTCCCTCTCTCAGCCCATCCCGCCTCACAAGGGTGGTGTTGTGGGGGAAACGGGAACCTATGGATACCCCCAGG